TTCTCTGCCCGGTTGCTGGGTGGGTGTGGCCATGGTGGGCGTGGCCTAATCAGCCTCCTGCACCATGGTGGGGGGGGCACTTTTGCCCTCTCCGGGCTCCGGAGGCGTTCCTCGAGCCTCTGGGAGGGCAAAAATGGCCTCCCCAGGCTCCAGAGGCTCTCTGGAGGCCGGAAACGGGCCCTTTTCTGGCCTTCCTGAACTTCTGGTATGCCATTTTTTCGCCCTCCTGGAGCCTCCGCATGCTCCCTGCACTTAGCTGCATCCAAAACAGGCCACATGGGGACTCCTGGGAGGGGTGGGGTGGGTTGGGCAGGGCCAGCCAGGAATGAGATTTGGGGGATCTCCAAACTGCACAGAATCTTAGCTAGAGGTTCTCCCAAACCCCTGTGAACCCCCAGCAGGGCCCCCCCTGGTTTGTGAGCTGTTTCAAGGTTCTTTTTAAGAAAAGCTACGATCCTGGAAAATTTCTAAGCCTATAATGGAAAAATTCCAGCACAAACTCACACATTTTATACCCTGTATCCCCTTGACTTTTGTCTGAAGAATCTAGAATCTAGAAGTCTGAAGAATCTACCCTCAAGCCAAACTATTAGAGGAAAAGTCATGAAAGGGCCACGATGTCTTTGGAGAAAGCAACCATCCAAGGCATATCCATTACAGCCTTTTGCAGACATTTCTTCGGTTCACAATGAACTTTTCTATATGTTATCAGGGCAAGAAGTACTATACTGAGTTGAAACAAATAATCTGAATCATTATTTTTTTAATTTCATACTGGCAGTCCAGTAATAAATGCATTGATTTAATTTGCATGGAACAATATTCTGCAAAGAATTGTATTATGTATGTGTCGGGCCACACTTAACTAACATGGCAATATATTTAGGGTTGTAGAAGAACCAGAAGGAGAACCAGGAGAAGGTAGATCTCAAGGACTTTATCTGGAAAGGAAAGTGTTGTGGGTGGTAAAAGTTGGACTTGAATTCAGCATAAAATTCACTGGATGACTTTAGGCTAGTTACAGTGGTGAAATCCAATTTTTTTTACTACCGGTTCTGTGGGTGTGGCTTGGTGAGCATGGTGTGGCTTGGTGGACGTGGCAGGGGAAAGATACTGCAAAATCTCCATTCCCACCCCACTCCAGGGGAAGGATACTGTAGGAAGTTAGCACCCACCCCTTTTCTAAAGGAATGAAATAATTTAAGGAAATATTTAAAAAGGCATTATATTATGTTTCCCTGAAAGAAAAATGGAGAAGCATGTTTTACAGACACAGCAGCTCCCACCTTCCTGCCCCCCACCCTTTGTTAATGGGCCAGAGGCAGAAACCCAATCCTTTGTCAAAGGACATTTGCAACACAATAGCAACAGAAACTAACACCATGGGACCCATCTAGACAGAAACTCACCACATGGCACCTGGGAAGATTACATCAGACAGCAAGGCTAGCTAAGACCCCCACCCCCTGGGAGTCTGACAACCAATCAGAGTACTCTTTCTGGGCCCCAGGAAGTTCAAAGCCAGAGAGAGCATAAAACCCGAAAAACTCGCTGTATCTGCCCTTTTTCTGTTCAGGAACTCAAGCCATGTGATCCTGTCCACCATTAAACCATCTTTCCAAGCAGTCTCCATGTCTCCAATGTCTTTTTCCCCACTTGGAGCAGAACCCAGAAGGATATTTCTTCCAACAATACTGCAAAATCTCCATTCCCGCCCCACTGTGGGGCCAGTCAGAGGTGGTATTTGCTGGTTCTCCAAACTACTCAAAATTTCCGCTACCGGTTCTCCAGAACCTGTCAGAACCTGCTGGATTTTACCCTTGGCTAGTTACTCTGTCTCAACCCAACAAGTCAAAAGGAATCTAGTAGTTCCTTATCCAACAAACAAAAAGCTTTTGTCTTTTAATAAAATTTGCCACTCAGAAGATGAAGTCCTTGTGTACTGTGTATATAACACCGCTCTCATCCTACAATACCAGCCCATCAGGGATAGTATTTTGAGAAAACCTGACTGAAGATCTTCATGTTTGCTCCCTTGAACTGCCCTGACTCTTCCTCAGCAGCTGAGTTGAAGTTCCACCTGCTGGTCCTTGAGTTAGCAGAAAAGTAGATTGGCATAAAACAGGTTACCCACCCTGGTGACTCCTATTCTGCCACAAGCACAGTGACATAAACTGTGCCATTCTTTTTTGTGGTGTTTGTTAGGTTTTTAGGTGCCCCCAGAAGCATCTCAATTAAAATGAGGCATACTCAGTTATGGGATTCAGCCAAGTATTCATCTTATGCACCCTTCCTCATTTTGACCAAATGAGAGAACACCAAAGATATAGGTTTCTGGAGCTGCCTTACCCTGAACATGAAAATACTGAAGAAGACTTTTAGCTATACAATTTGAGATTAACACTCTTGGAATAGTGTGGGAATAGGAATGGATTTCCACAGAAAAAATTGCAGACTACAGGAACCAGGAGCACTTACTCAGGTGACCCTGAGGACACAGACAAACCTCCAAGTGCTTCAGTGACCCTCTAAAAGGATGCAAATGACCAGCTGTCTGCAAGGAGTATAAATCCTTCCATTCCTCACCATCTAGTTGGAACTGAAGAAGCTTCTTGGATGAGAAGTGAAATGTCTTTAAAGAAGAAACAAGAAAGTCAAGTTGCCTCCTGAAAAAGCACCTTTGGGACAACCATGACCTGGATGACTGAGAACCTCTACAGACAATACTGCAGAAGGCACAGTCTATAGGTGCACCAGCCACTCTATAGGCACTGCTCTGGCAGACCTTTCAGAGTAATCCATTGTGAGACGTTTGCCGTAGCAACTAACCTGTCAGAGCTGTCTTGTAATGCATTGCTCTATGAGCCCAAAGCAACAGCCGTGGGAGGAGGGATGCTGCCACTTGGCCTGCAAGTGGGTGGGAGAATGGTTGCTTGGAACAGAGCAGGGAAAGCAACAGTAGAGAGGGAAGTGGTCCTTCTCCAGCTTCACATGAAGGATCTCCATGATCCTCTGGCTTGTTTCTATTATCCTAAAGACCTCTATCAGCTTCTACCAATGGTAGGGCATGGCTATGCATGATATAATAATAGATGATAGATAGATAGATAGATAGATAGATAGATAGATAGATAGATAGATAGATAGATAGATAGATAGAGATTGATAGATTGATAGATAGAGATAGATAGAGATAGATGATTGATTGATCAATAGATCGATAGAGATCGATAGAGATAGATGATAGATAGATAGATAGATAGATAGATAGATAGATAGATAGATACTGTAGAGATAGATGATAGATCGATAGATTGATTGATTGATTGATTGATAGAGATAAATCAATAGATAGATAGATAGATAGATAGATAGATAGATAGAGATAGATGAGATAGATAGATCGATAGATCGATAGATCGATAGATCGATAGATCGATAGATAGATAGAGATAGATAGATCGATAGATAGAGATAGATGATTGATAGATCGATAGATAGATAGATAGAGATTGATAGATGATTGATTGATCAATAGATCGATAGATCGATAGAGATAGATGATAGATCGATAGATCGATAGATCGATAGATCGATAGATCGATAGATACTGTAGATAGAGATAGATGATAGATAGATAGATAGATAGATAGATAGATAGATAGATAGATAGATAGATAAATAGATAGATAGATAGATAGATAGATAATGATGTGCTATTGATTCTTTTGGTTTCAAATTCCTCCCTGGACCCAGTTTTAGCAAGGGGTTCTCTGCCCAGTTGTTCAGGACACCAAGGGAACATAGAACATACAGTAGAATAGAGAATAGTGATGGGGCATCCACAACTTCTGAAGGTAAGTCATTCCACTGGTTAATTGTTCTCACTGTTAGGAAATAGCCTAGAAATAAGGAGAAATTCAACCAGTGGAACAGAAGTTGCCTTCAGAAGTTGTGGTTGCTCCATCACTGGAGGCTTTCAAGAAGAGACTGAACAGTCACTTGTCTGGAATGGCATAGGGTCTCCTACTTGAGCAGGAGGTTAGACCGGAAGACCTCCAACGTCCCTTTCAACTCTGTTACTCTGCTATTCTGAAATTTCTCCTTAGTTCTAAGTTGCTTCTCTCCTTGATTAGTATCCACCCATTGCTTCTTGTCCTGCCTTCAGGTGCTTTGGAGAATAGCTTGACTCCCTCTTCTTTGTGTCAACCCCTGAGATATTGGAACACTGCTATCATGTCTCCCCTAGTCCTTCTTTTCATCAAACTAGACATACCCAGTTCCTGCAACCGTTCTTCATAATGTTTTAGCCTCCAGCTCCCTAACCATCTTTGTTGATCTTCTCTGCACTCTTTCTGAAGCCTCAACATCTATTTTATATCGTGGCGACCAAAATTGGACGCAGTATTCCAAGTGTAGTCAGGTCATATTAACGCTTTGTAAAGCGCAGAGTTTTCCCCCTTAGCTATCATGACCTTAACTCTTTCACTGCCGCATTCAACTTTAGTTATTTTTAAAAAATTGTCCTTATCTGCCATGTTCAACTTTAACATTCCTTGTTAATACAACATTTTCTTCGACACAGGGAGTGACTAAAGCTTAAAGGTTTGGTTTGAAAATATCATTAGAGATCACATTTGTTTACTTCCCATGGCCTGAGAGTTTCACTTCCATGTAAAAACAGCTGACTGGATCTAGCTAAACATTTTTTTTTATTATTTGATTTATATGCCGCCCTTCTCCAGAGACTCAGGGCAGCTTACAATGTGTTAAGCAATAGCCTTCATGCTTTTGTATATTTATACAAAGTCAGTTTATTGCCCCCACAAACTGGGTCCTAACTGGTTTAACTTTGGCATTTGATTTGTATAACGGATCCTTTTTATTTTATTATTTGTTTTACTGATTTTTCACATAGGTGAGGTGAGTTAATTGTACCTGCATTTCAGTGGTGGGTTGCCCCCAGTTCGGACAGATTCACAAGAACCATAATAAAATTGGCAGGAGGCTCCGCCCACTGACCTGGACATCATCATAGGCGATCTGCGGATACACAGACGCTTCTGTGCATGTGCAGAAGAGTGCGCACACGTGCTCGCTTTGCTCACGTGTCTGCGCGGGTACAATGCGAACCAGTAGTACAGGTAAGTAGAACCCACCCCTGCTGCATTCTCCCCTTATAATAATCTTATTTTTTTTTTAAAGTATTAAATATGTTGAAAAATTTCATTTTTCGGTTGCACTAGTTGGAAGTAAACAATTTGCTTAGATTGTTTACTGGTGTTTAGTGTTAAATAAATAATTCTTTAATGTTTATATTTGATATAATTGTGGTATCTGGCCTGGGGAAAGTCTTGGGGGAACAAACCTATGTTTTCTGAGTCTTAGTTCTTGTCAGTCAAAAAAGGCAGAATATTATATTTCCCTGAATGAGAAAAGGAGAAACAGGTTTTTAAAGAGAAAGAGCAGCTCCCTACCCCCAGCAGATATTTGATGCACATTAAGACTGGGCCAGCCTATCTACAAGACAATTAGAACTTCAGATCCAGGGTGATGAGATTAAGATATGACCCCTAAGGACACAATAGGATTAGCCCTCTACCCATCTAACAGCAGGGCTCACTTGGGGACATTATATCAGTCCAAGGTTCAACCAAAGTTGATTCAGACAAACATGACTCCACATGGGAGTCTGACAGTAACCAATAGAATACATGTCCTTGCCACAGAAACAGGAAGCTCAAGTTCAAAGCCCAAGAGAGGGTATAAATAACACTCACTCTCCACTCCATGTGGTCAGCTACCCAGAATCACATGTCCTTGGTGGTTCTGCTTCAGCATTAAACCATCTTTCCAATCAGCCTCCATGTTTCCACTGTCTTTCTCCCCACTTGGAACTGAACCCAGATGGACATTTCTTCCAACAATTGGGAGGGTCCCTCCTGAGAAACTTGCCAGTACACATTTTTTTCTGAGGGCTCAGTTCCCTTCTCTTCTCCTGTTTCCCAAGATTTTTCCCACATAGCATTACAGATCCTTCCCTCTTCCTAAACTGAGAGATCATTTTCTGAAAATTGCTTTCTGAAAATACTGTGCAATTCAGCACAGTATGCTAAGATTTCCACTACTGTGATTGTTCATTATATGCTAGATATTGTCTTTCTTCCGTGGAAATAAAACCCACCATTTTATAAGACTGAAAAAGAAGAAATACTTATTTTGGCCTAATATAGTATTGTGATAATTTTGCTATGTCAATAATAAATTATTATGAGAATCTCCTCCTTGTTGACTTCTTATACAAGAGAAGTCACAACGAAACCCTGTTTGTTCCTTTATTTCTGCTGATAGTTGTTTTCAGTTTTAGTATGAAAAGCACAACCCATGACAATCCATTTTAGTATGAAAAGCGCAACCCATGACAATCCGAAAAACACAATCCATGAACCTTTGGGTCATGTTTCAGACATATTTCCTTATCAGATCCCACAACTGCAGAATTTCTAAAGTACCTGCATTTTGTCCAGGTTGAAAGTTACAGGATACCGGGTTCCTACTATCATATGTGGTGGACTTGTCCAAAAGCAAGAAAATTCTGGATGAAAATACACACATGGTTAGAGAAAATGATAAAGCAACATATAGACTTAAAAACCAGAAATATTTTTGTTAGGTATACTACCAGAAAATTACAAGACTACATTTAATAATACACTTGTTGACAGCAGCAAGAATTGTATTTGCATAATACTGGAAAAATGAGGATACACCTACAGATGAAAGTATAATTAGAAACATATTAGACTGTGTGGAGATGGATAGTTTGACATTAATAATAAAAGATAAGGAAGAAACAGAATATTTTTTAACGTGGGATATGTTTTATCAACCATTGTATAAAAGAGGTAGAAATTAGAGGATGAAAGATTACTGAAATATATAAATAAATGAAGTAAAAAATTTTTACTTTAATAAGTAAATTGTAGTATTTTAATTATAGGTGTTATTATAATTATTACTTTTACTACTAGTTTATTAATACTTTGTATAAACAAATTGATCCAGACAATACACTGTTTATTAAGCATTTATGTATTTTAAAGAAAAAAAATGTATAAATAAATTTCCAAAAAAAAAGTTACAGGAATGAGAGTTTTAGTAGTGTATAGATTGGATATGCTACCACAAGCAGTGCTTCAGATGTCATGTTGGATGCAACACCAGCCAAAGTTATTCACAGGGGTGCATGACAATTTTCCACAGCCAACTCGCCACGGCCACCTTGCCACAGGACAACTCGCTGCGGGAAGAGAGTTATGCTAATATCTGTTGTGGGCCGCCAGCAGCCTGCAGACCTGGCAGCGGAGTTGGACAGTGAGGAGGCTGGGGAGGACAATGGGCCAGTCCTGGAATCAGGGGAAGGCCCGGACGAGGATTCTGCATCAGAGGCAGAGATGGGGCCAGGGCCATCTGGGAGCGATGCGCGGACTCCAGAGCCTCCTGAGGCAGACAGCAGAGAGGCAGAGAAACAGGAGGAGCCTGTTCCTAGTGCACGTATGAGAAGAGCTGCCAGAAGGCAAGAGCAGCTGAAGAAAAAAGGACAACTCAGGAGTAAGGCCAGAAGATGATTGGCCACTCCCATAAGGCTTAAAAGAGCAGCAACGAGCTGTTGAGTTCTTTGTAGAAAAGCAACGTTGATTCCAGTGCTTCTTGTCAGCATCTCTTGAACTTTGTGGGGATTTTGCCAAGAAAAGCAGGTTGTCAAAGACATCAAAGGTTGGTGATAAGGCTGAGGGACCGGTTATGAAGAATTTTGTTTTGGACTAAGCTGAGAATGAATTAATTCTCAGCTGTTTTAATACACTAAGTTTGTAGAGGACTGAATTGTGTTTGGTAATCGCTACTTGTGCCTTGGTCACAACAATATCAAAGAAATGGTGGAATAGAATAATTAAAGAAAGGATACAAAAGGAGGGACAAAATGAAATGCGAATGGCAAAACTTAAAATAATTTTTATTTATTGTAAATAATTAAATAGAATTGTTAAATGGATGGTAGAGGACAGGAAGGCCTGGAGGAACGTTGTCCATGGGGTCTCAATGGGTCGGACATAACTTCGCAACTAACAACAACTCTAACAGTTTAGGAAGGAAAGCCAGTGCCTCTTCTACTAGATCCTCCATGCTTTTTATGTGGGAGAGAACGAAACTTGAGAGAGGTTATATCCATCCTTGCAAATAACACTTACCATTTTGGAAGATCTAGAAGGAAATACAGACTTCTGTGGTTTTGCAAGGTGTTAATGACTGGAGAAAGAAAGCAAGGCAATAGTTGGTCACGGAGAACCTCTGCCTGCTTTCATACCTGGGAATAGGCAACTGTTGAGGAAGATGGAGTGAAATTCCCCTTCTCATCTTTATTCCAATAATGTGTTCAGAAAGATCAGCTTGTAGATAAAGAATGTCGTTCTTAGAAGGATAAGGAAAAAAATAGGTCAGTTGTGAATCATCTGGGATCAGTTGGGGTGACTCATTGTGGTGTCTGTTGATACTATGCAGCATTTTGATGACTCCAGTTTTCTACAAACTCATGTTGAGTTGTTACAAAACTCTAAAGAAGCTGCTTAAGAATACCGATAGGGATAATCAATGCAAATTCTTTGGTTTTCATATTTTGTGAATTGGATATTTAAAGCAATAAACATTGAAAAGTTTCAGAAAGATACATAGTAAATATAATTAAGAGGAAAACAATAAATGAGCATACATGTTCTCCGTATAAAATCCGGTGCAGCCAGCAACAATGAAGTTCAGTTGAGCTGAGAGTGAGTGATCTAAACCATGGAATTCCCCCCTTTTCTCCTAATAAAATAGCACCTCTCCTGGGTACTTTCCTTTCATATCAAAATATGCAAGTAGTGCATTTCGTTCATGTATGCCTAAAATATGTTTAGCAACATAAGTGACAGGATCACAGGCAGTGGTGGGTTGCCCCGGTTCGCACCGGTTCTATAGAACCGGTAGTAAAACCGGTGGGAGGCTCCGCCCACTGACCCTGATGTCATGAAAATGCTTCTGCGCTTAAGCAGAAGAACGCGCGTGCATGGCCCCATTGCAAACCGGTAGTAAAGGTAAGTAGAACCCACCCCTGATCACAGGTGATATTCAGCCGGTTCGGATTTGTTTGCCCGAACTGGTAGCAGAAATCGCGGGTGGACCCACCCACCCCGGCTCTAGGCCATCCTATTTAGACACATTTATCTTTATTTTTTCCTTTGTTTTTCATATACTCAGCTATTTTTGTGAATATGTCAAGTTGGATTCATCAAATATTTAAAAATTCACACAATAACCTATTGCTTTTTCTGTGCATTTTTCTAAATGTATACATTTTTATTACATTTTAGCCAGTGGTGAAATCCAAATTTATTTACTACCGGTTCTATGGGCGTGGCTTGGTGGGCAAGGTGTAGCTTGGTGGGCGGGGCTTGGTGGGTGGGGCAGGGGAAGGATACTGCAAAATCTCCATTCCCACCGGTTCTCCGAACTACTCAAAATTTCTGCTACTGGTTCTCCGGAACCTATCAGAACCTGCTGGATTTCACCCCTGATTTTAGCCTACGAAATATAATATACGAATAAAAGTTCTTAATATAATGCATTTTAGTGCATTACTTTCATAAATATATACATTTTTCCTCAGACATTTTTTGTAACATGCTGTTTTTCTACTGAATCATGGAACTGTAGAATTGTAGAAGCAATCAGGATGATATTGTAATCTAGTCCTACTTTCTTCAATCTGCTGGAAAACCAATTAAACCATTCTTGGGTGACTGTCCAGGTTTTCCTTTAAAAAACTCTGGTGATGGGGAACCTGCAACCTTCATTGTTTCACTGTTGTACAAATCTTTTCACACTCTTGTTGTTGTTAGTTGCGAAGCTGTGTCCGACCCATTGCGACCCCATGGACAACGTTCCTCCAGACCTTCCTGTCCTTTACCATCCTCTGGAGTCTATTTAAGCTCATGCCGACTGCTTCAGTGACTCCATCCATCCACCTCGTTCTCTGTCGTCCCGTTCTTCTTTTGTCCTCAATCGTTCCCAGCATTAGGTTCTTCTCCAATGAGTCCTTCCTTCTCAT